ATATAAAAATATGTAATAAAGTTCTAAAACAAGTATTCGGTATATTCCTTGATAGCTTTTGGAGAAGGTTGTTTTTAAGTTTACTATAAAATCTATCGTTTCAACTGTTTCACTTTATAAAAAGGGAACAGGTGAGTAGAGCATCATTGAGTTTCTTATTCTGTCAGTAAATTATCCAAATGAATGTTTTTCATTATTTTAGTCAACCCTAAACAAATTGATTGTACCTTTTAATAATGACCTTACATGGTCGGCAAAGTTAAATTACCTTCAGAAAATCAAATCTGTTCTGAGAAAAAACTAATAAATGTTTAAAGATAGGAACTTGCCATCCCACTGAAAAACAGTCCGTAGAGATTTAAAGGCGTAGTTGTAGTTCAGTCCAACTTTCATTTGGATTCATTTGATAACAGTCAACTATTTTCATAAAGAATATATATATTTTTCAAAGTCAACTTTATTGTCAATCTTACTCAGTTTGAGAGATCAAAAAGACGTTTAAATAAAATTATACAATTTACAGATAAGTATACAAATATATATATCCTATATACACCATCATGTATAATGATGGTGTATGATGTAGAAGGAAGTGTGGTAGATAACAAGTAAATATAGAGTTACATACAGATCCATGTTACAGCAAAAGATGGAATAACTCAGAAGCACGCAGTATAATAATAATTACATGCAACAATTAAATAACTGCTCAGCATCTCCACCACAATCCCAATCTGCTGTGTCCTGTTTTCCTCCCCTCTGCATAACACCCCATCACACATATGAAACACAACGCAGAGTCCGAGGGTGTTAAGAGTATGTTTATTGAAATGTCCTCCTCTCTACTGGCCAACACAGGGAGCATATGCTGGGTGTAGAATTGTTCCAGGAGGAGGAGATTTCCATGCCATGCAGGGTCTTTGGGGATGGGGATGATGATCGCCTCCTTCGTGGTCCACACAACAAAGTAGCAGAGACTCCGGTCTGTGATATGCAGCTGCCCTTGGACCTGGTGCCAGTATGGGTGATTCTCCTTGAGAATATATGACCCACCCTCCTCACGGAGACAGAAGGATGGTAACTGGACTGCCTCCGCGATGGTCATGTTCCTCTGGCTGTGTGGACACTTCACCTCCAGCAGGGCAGATGGCTGCACAAGACCATCGGGTGATGCTCCCAAAACACCCGACTCACTCACAAAGAGACCAGACTCGATTCTAACACTGTCACTTGATAGGCCTCCACAAAAGCCTTCACCTCTTCGGCCTCGTTTACAACCCCCCAGTTGACAGTTGGCGATGTCTCTGGCCAGTGGGTTGTATGTCTCCTCTCGCTGTTGGTAAAGTTGAGACACCGGCTGGACTACTTTGGAAGTGCCAGGCTTCCTCCACTGGCACTCAACATCTGTGGAGCTGATCTGCCACATGGCAAATATTGCCAATGCTGCAGCGTGGCTGCATTTGTACATCTCCTGTGCACAATCACAGACAGCGCTCTGCATCGCGCCATCGTCTCCCATGCAGATCTGTAAAAATAAAGTAAGTACCATTTGTTAACATGCTATAATAGATTGAATGAGCAATAATACAAGGATGGTCCGGATCTGGGGGTGGGAGGGTTTATTTTTCCATAGTTTTGTCCTCTTGTCTGTTGTTATTGTTTGTTTTTTCTGTATTTTTTGTAATTTGTGTTGTATTGGTTGTGATTGTACATTGTATTTTTCTAACTGTGTATGAATACATTTTTGAAAAACATTTGATCAACAATAAAAAAGGATTTGGTCAGGATCTAGACTCAGTGTGTAGTTTATTAATTAATCAATGCTCTCTACATTAGGAAAACACATACCGGTGTACCAGAGGGAGTCACACACAGCTGTGCCTAGATAACCAAAATCCTTGAATCTACACACAGCAAATAAACTCAAATGACACAACGAGAAAAAGGAGATCACGCATACAGTATAGTCGATATAAAATTGGCCGCTTCAATCTGAAGAGCAACTAAAACAAAACACGGGAGTGTACCTTGTTCTTGTGAACACTAATGTTATCCACAGCATACACAGAGACCACGAAGTTCTTAAGGAGAAAACTAGTTGCTAAAACAAAACACGTTAGTGTACCTTGTTAGCTAATGTTAGCTAGCTGACATTAACGTTACACATTGCACTCATATTACTCACCGAAACCTTGTAAAGCCGGTCCCGCTGCTCTTACAGAACCGACTAACTCCCATTTCATATAGGTACAGTTCTCAACGTGCCCAGACTTGTAGTAATTTTCACCTCGTAAAATACTATTATTCTCATTCTGAAAGAATGTGGTAAAATGTGCTAACGTGACGGCCATCTTTATGTTGGTGACGCGTATTGTGCGAGACCAGAGACCTGTAGTTCACTGAGCGGTTTCACACGAAAAAATTTGTAACTTCACAGTTTTACGACACATTTTTATTTTTTTGACTTGCAAAATGTTCTTTTAAATTGACAAACAGCATATGTGTCATTCGTGGCACAATTCAAACGGGATCAAAAGATAACCTTTCTCTCTCAATTGACTTCAATGTATAATTTTCCGCTTTCGGGGTCCCATGGAGGCTTTCGGAAGGGGAGGGACTTCGCCTCTCTATTCCACAAAAATGGAGGAGAACTTAGTTATTGCGGTAGCAAATCACCCGGTTCTTTATGACCAGTCCCTATTTACTTACCGGGATACAAACCGGAGGAACCAGGCATGAAGGGAGGTGGCAGAGGCAGTGGGTGAAACTGGTAGGTTTTCGCTTGTTTGGGGATTTTATATCCAGTTTACTTCGTTGCTAGTTTACTTCGTTGCTAGCAAGCATAGACAGTATCATTAGCCAGCATGGAATGTAGCATAAAATAGCACCATAAACATTAATCTCATAAATGTTCAAAATGTTAAACAAATAAATGTTCATCATAGCCCTTCCTATTTGACAATAGTGTAGAATAACCGGGTTTTTTTGCTTTGTATGTCGGGGGCGGGATATTCATGTGATATTCATGTGATTGGTTGTTGGTCGCGAAATCCCCAAGCTGTCAGACACGCCCAGCTCCAGGATTTTCAAGATTTGGTCAAAGCTGCTGTGTGGACACACCGTAAACTAACCTGTAGCTGCTCCCTCCACACTCACAACAACTTCATACATACATAAATAAAGCAGCTGTATTCGCCATACAGGAAACACACATTTAAAACGGTTTTGCCTGCCGTTTTTGTGTACACAAGCATTCATCAATGGTTTGGAAAGTGGCGCTGTACCTTAATAATATAAAGGCTTGTATTTGCGTGCATTTCCTGTTCGGAAAGTGGCGCTGTACTGAGAGTGGAGGGTGTCCTGAGATTAGCGCCTGCATGCAGGCTCCATGGAGCTGTCAGCTCCGGACTGCGCAAAATGCGTACATGAAGCGCTACGTCATGAACGCAAGAAATCTACCCTCGTGAGACATCTGATTGGCTATAGATATAAATAATTACAAGTTCGAATCGGCTGACCGTCAGGGGAGTCTCAAAAAACCCACACACGAATGCACAGCGATCCGTGCACAGAAAGCTGTTTGTGTTCAGAGGTTTTAAACGGAAAACAAATATGTGAGGATCAAAAATATGGAATGCCATTTAAGCCAAAATTAAATAAATAAATAAATAATTAAATAAATATATATATATATATATAAATATGCCTATGAAATAAATTCTGAAATAAATAAATGAGGCAATAAATATGTATACATGTACATTTAAATACACATTTATTTATTTCATGGGACTTTTATTTCATAATGACACATTTATTTATTTCAAGAGACTTTTATTTCATAATGACACATTTATTTATTTCAAGAGACTTGTATTTCATAATGACACATTTATTTATTTCAAGAGACTCGTATTTCATAATGACATATTTATTTATTTCAGGTGACTTGTATTTCATAATGACGCATTTATTTATTTCAGGTGACTTGTATTTCATGATGAGACATTTCCATTCCTTATATGCAAATGAACGGGGCGTGGTTAGCTCACAGATCCAGACCAAAGCAACAGCACCACAACACTGACTCAATAGCTTTTGTTTCACACTCCAGTACTCTTAAGTGGTTTGCAAACTGCCAATAAACCAAACCGGTTCAAGAACCATTCTTGTGCTTTTCTGGTGCTTAACTGGTTCTTCTCTGGTCTTATCTGGTCCGCCCAATGCTGCTCTTCTGAGACTAGCAACCGCTCTGACAGCTCCCTCTAGTCTCTACTGGGAAACAGCTCAAAGTCTTTCTGGAGGTAAGCAATGCTACACAATTACACCCAGTCTGAGAGTAAAAGATTTCTCGAAGGTTCGTTTTGCTTTCTGACAACGTTAAGTTAATGTTAACGTAACTTTAAGTTTGCTAGGAGGCTATTGTTACGAGCTAGCTGTCTTAGCTAACAACAGTTAGCAGCTAACGTTTTCTGCAGTTTGTGTTGCCCCTGAAAAACGTGATGTAGTTAAGGGTATGTTAAATTAACGTTATTTTACAAGTTGAGAGAGTTAAGTTGTGTTTAAGATCGTCAATGTAATGCGCGTTAGAGGTTTTTACTAGTTGGACATGAAGTTAGCTAACGTTAGCTAACTCTCCCAGGTTAGCATGTTAAGCTGTACTTTCTGTGGCAGCTAGCTTAATACAGAGAGGGGTTTTGTGCTTCATTGCAATGCAAACTTTTCTTTGTTAATCTACCTGAATCAGTAGGGACAGTTTTGTTCTACTCAACTATACAGACCATTGTTGAGGAGATGCAAAACATACTGTACATGTGTTGGGTCCAACATATATCTTGAGTAATGTTACTTTGCTGCTAAAAATGAAACATCATTATCAGATGAGGACATCACCAAAGTGTGTGAGTCTGTCAGGGGATTTGATCTGTTCTCTGCATGTCGTAAACACTGCTCTGGTATTACTTATCTTGTAAAATGTAAGTCTCGCTCTTGTCATCGTTCAGGCTTTGCATTTGAACTCCTATGACTGGTTGCGGACTTGAAGGGAACGCCTTCCTGACATCCAGGTAAAAGGTGAGATTCTAATACATTTGAATGCCAAAAGAAAGTTATTGTTTTTAACTTTTTAAATATGATTGTTTTGGGGCATTTCAGTTGTATTGGACAGAGGCAGTAGAGATCTACTGGAAACGTTGGAGAGGGAGGAGATGATATGCAGCAAAAGGCCCAGCCGGATGGTTGCTGCTCCGTGTGGAACGTGTTCTATCAGGTAAAGCACTTTGGTACCCAGTTAGTTATGGTATTGAGTTTGAATTTAGCCTTTGGAAGGTAATTTCCAATTGTGCATTGTAAAGACTGAAAGATGTAAAGCTTGACATGATTTGGTATTTTACTTAAGAAGGTGTTTGTCCTCCTGTGTTGTCTTATTTCCTTATCTTTCTTTCAGGTGTAACATCTACCAATGGTTGTACATGACAGCGACCTCCTCCGCCTCTTTGCTGTCTTACTAGTCAATCCTTCTGATCAGGTCCTTTCAGACAGAGACCTCCTCCACCTCTTTGCTGTCTTACTAGTCAATCCTTCTGATCAGGTCCTTTCAGACAGAGACCTCCTCCACCTCTTTGCTGTCTTACTAGTCAATCCTTTTGATCAGGTCCTTTCCTAAATAGTGGTAAGTTTTACAGTTCAGTGTACGTTAATTTAGCAACTTAATGCTTTACCGCTGTTGAATAAATCCTATATTGCTAGTCATTTTATTAAAACTACGATTTGTAAACTTTTTGATTCCAATTACAATAATATTTTTGTATAACACATCTTAACATCCATCAGAAATCAATACAACAAATCATCCAACACTAAATGGAAGAAATCTGGACATATTTATTTTTATACAGCAGCATATTTTGGGACTGCTCATTGATGTCATCAAGAGCCATTGAGTCTACCTTTTGTAGTCGGCCTCTCAGAATGTTTATCATTTATTTGTATCTTAACATTCCTATAATAATTAGTTTTTTTATTGTTGATATTGTTTTGTTCTTTATTTTTGTTGTGAGAATCACTTTGCAATTATTGTGTAAGTTCTATATAAATAGTTATACTAATATTATTGTTGTTACCATCATTACTATTATTAATAATGTCTTCTTTGTTTTCTTTATCGCTGCAGAAAGGATCATGCCAGCCCACATCAAACACCTGATCAAGAACTTGTGAACCTCACTGCTGCGGACACCTGTGTGATATTCCACTCTGACTGGAACCCTCAAAATGACCTGCAGGTACGATATATATATCTGCTCTGTCTGTCCTAAAGATAGTTCAATAGGGCTATAACAACAACAGTCTTTCCGTTTATTCCCTCGGTTCTTTAAGTGTATATTATTTTCCCATTTAATGCTTAAAAACGTTGAACAGCAGCTGCACATGATGCTCTTTTGACCCCTCTTTTAATTTTTTATTTCAGGCTCAAGCTCGGTGTCATCGTTTTGGCCAGTCTAAGGCGGTGAAGGTGTACCGTCTGATCACTAGAAACTATGAGAGGGAAATGCTGGATAAAGCTAGTCTGAAGCTCGGGCTGGACCGTGCCGTCCTGCAGAGCATGAGTGACAACAACAACGGGGTGAGAAAAAGAAAATCTGTCATATTTCTAGATGCCAAGTCATTTTTGGGTCAGTCGCTGTTGCAGTACGCTTAGTTTATTTTCGAAAAGAGTTTTCTAAATCCACTTGTGTAAATGTCTCTCTGCGTCGCCTTTAGCCGGTGCAGCAGTTCTCCAAGAAGGAGATCGAGGACCTGCTGAGGAAAGGAGCCTACGCCGCCATCATGGACGAGAACGACAAAGGCAATCGCTTCTGCGAGGAGGACATCGACCAGATCCTGCAGCGAAGAGCCACCATCATCACCATCACCAGGTATCGAGGGGTGAGAACCAGAACCAAGTGACATTTTGGTCAAAAATGAGTTATATATATCAAATGAAAGCTCTCAATGAGCTCTTTCTACTACCAAAAGGGTGCATGTGAATTCAAAACCAATCCAGAGTTATTCATCAAAAACCAAAAGACCTAACACAGAACACACTGAACTATTTGGGGCCAAAAGGACGTAAGTGCACTTACGCCCTTTTGGCCCTGAGAAATGTATTATGGGTTAAGCCTTTGGATAGCACTTGAGTCAAAATGGCTGACACCATATGTAAGCAAGCTAGGTCAACCATGAGAAGAAAGCTTTTCACTGCTGAAGAAGTGTTACTAAGCTTATTTCAAGATGCAGAAGAGCTTGATGAAGAGAATGAAATAATCCAGGATTCAAAGTCAATGCCGAGTGACAAAGGAAACTTAGTTTCTACAGATCCATCTTCAACAGAGAATTCAACTCATCAGAGATCAGCACATGCATGTTCCAGTATCTGTCAACTCTTTCAGGTACTGAGCATGTGGTGCTGTACTCTGACACATGTGGTGGGCAGAACAGGAATGCTGGTTTTAGTGCCATGTGTCTCCATGCAGTTAAAACCTTGCCCATCTCCATTATTGATCATACGTTCATGGAGTGTGTGCACAGCAAGATGGAATGTGACAGTGTTCATGCAGCCATTGAGACCGACAGAAAAAAAGGGACTTTGTACAGTTCGGAGGGGTACTACTGTACACTCTTGTGAGGATGGCAAGGGGGAACAGGCCATAGAAGGTGATTGAGCTTGGGTACAATGACTTTCTGGATTTCAAGTCCTTCTCACAACACACTAGGGCTGCTCAATTATGGCAAAAATCATAATCACGATTATTTTGGTCAATATTGATATCACGATTATTAAATACGATTATTCATTGACTTTGAAAACATCCATTTATTGAACTTTAAAAAATAAATAATAATTTGAACAGTATATTTTTAACAGTTGATTACCCCGAACTTTAAGTATAACTCAACTGCAAAGTATTTAGCTGAAGCCACATCTTTTTTAACTTCCCCACGGCATTTGTCATATAGGGCAGGCAGTGCAGATCTGGTGAAATGATACCGAGATGACATCGCTTAACGCTTGTCCATAGTGTTAGCCAGTTGCTTAAACCCCTGGTTGCTAACCGTACTAACCGGGCACATGTCTTTAGCTATGCAGAATGTGATGGCATGTGTTATATCTTTGTGTCCTTGCGAGCTGGTTGAGTAGGCCGTTGCACTGTAAAGTGCATCCTTAATTGATGACTGTGATGTGGTGGATGAAGTCGAGGGGGCACGCTCGTGAATTGTCAACAGGGGGGCGGGGGGGGGGGGCTTCGCTGCGGGGAAACTGTGGACCTCGTTGCAAGCCGTAATCGAGATTAAAATACGATTAATTGCACAGCCCTACAACACACGGTCCGAAACAGAACCAAAGACACAGAGGGACAAACAGTTTGTTGGCAGAAAATGAAATGGCAAAAACAAAAGAGGATCACAAAATCAGGATCAGGATCACAATCAGGATCAGGATCACAATCAGGATCAGGATCACAATCAGGATCAGGATCACAATCAGGATCAGGATCACAAAAGAGGATCCGAAAAGGATTCAGTTCAAATATGAGCTGTCCGACCAAACTGCAAGCTGGAAAGCAGGAGACCAGAGGTGCTCATGCAATTGAACCAAAGAAGATGCACACAGGTCCACCTGGGATCACTGCTGTGAAAAAGAAAGACGTACTCGCACAAATGGGAGTATCCCTCACTCCTATGTAGGCAGAGTAGGCTAGTTTGTCGTTTCAAATCAATCTGAAACTTACATGATCTGCATGAAATATGCTGTTGTCGTATATAATTATATTGCTCTATTTGACATTCCCAATGTTCTAAAGTAGTTTTTGATTTGCCAAACAGTTATTAGGCCAGGTTTAATGTAATTTATTGTTATTCAGTGAACTAATGTGATATTGATATTTGATATGATCACAATGGACTCTGTAGCCTATTTTCAATCCGTTATTTGGGGAAATGGCTAAATAATTAACTATTTGGCAAAATGGTTATTAATGTTTTTGTTTTTTTAAAAGATTACATTCAATGAACTAATATGATATAAGGATATTTTAATATAATATTGTTATTATAACAATTGATTACTGTTACTTTTGACCTCATTAATGTAAAGCCTTTTTCCTATATTTATCAGATACGCCCTATTTTTTAGTTCATATGATATAAAATCTTAGTTCCAAAAAGGCGCATGTGACTTTATTGCGAATAAAAAAAAAATAGAAGAATATTTTTTTCAATGAAAGTCAAAATATTGTTCATTAAGTATATTGTCATCCACATGTTTATGAAGTTTTCATATTAAAGATTGAATTTAATAAACAAAGTCAGGATAAAGTATGGTCATTTTTTGTTTTGGCTCTCCTGTAAAGTTGGTCAAATGTCACTTACGCCCCTCTGGTTCTCACCCCTCGGTATGTTCTTAGCAGCATTAGCCACTTGCGCTTTGTGAGATACCAAGTACTTGGTTATTTGAAATGTAATATTGATGATGTAATAATTAAAACTAGGGATGGGTACCGAGCCCCAGTATTAACGGGGTCCGAGGGCTGAATTATTAAAGACCGTGGTACCGTTAACGTCCAACGTTATCGATCTTTTTATCGGTACTGGAGACAATTAAAAAATAGATGTCATATGTATTATATCTACATAAACATTATATCGCAGTCTTACTGTCGCCAACTCCGTTTCTAATATCCAATAAGACTACAAAGTGCGTCTATGATTTATTTTCGATCTTTCCAATCCAGACGAGAGATCTCTCTCCCCTGTCGGTGTGCGAGGGGGCGGGGCAGTTTACACACACACACGCGTGCGCACACAAACACATGGCGGAGAGAACTAAGCGCCCCGAGGGTAGTTATGTTACCCGTCTTGAGCATGGATGTATAATAAGAACTGGATACAGCGTCGGAGGAGGGGTTTCGTTCTTTCCTATGAGAGCTGCTCATTGGCGCATGAAGTCAAAATGGCCCAACTTTTGAGAGAGCGAAACGTCACAGATTACCCAGCATGCCGTTTGTGCCCTCACAGAGCATGCACCCCTTAAGCCCCGCCCCCCGAGCACACACTCTCGGCTCACTATGAAAGAATGGAGAGAGAAAGAATAAATCTAGATTCGGCTTTTAGTGCATTTTACAACTTTAAGGACTTAATGATTCTAGGGCTATACAATAGTTCATACGGGGTAGTTTATATAGTTTCAAAAAAATTATCCACCGATTTACAGACGTCTCTTTCCCAATGTTAGTCAATGGGAAAAAGTATTTCTGGGCCGGTCGACGTCACAGACTGATAAGGAAATTGTAGTACCACCGTTGGACACAGCGAATATTTTCCTTAGAGTCCGGCGCACTTCCTGGGGGCTTTGTCTTGAGGTGGAAAATGCTCGTTGCCAATAGTGCAATAAGTGTTTAGCATGTAAGGGCGGTAACATGAGCTATTTGTCTAAACATTTAGCAAAAGTGCTCCACATTCAGACGGAGGAATGCACCGGGTTCAACTGTCTTTCTAGTAGCTCTGTAGCCCCCCCATCCACGAGTAACGTTTCCACGTCAGGTATATATTATGTATGCTAGCAGCAACACACAGAGTTAACTCAATGATACAAACATGGGTTAATGATTAGAACTGAGTTATTTATTTTGTTAAAGTTTCAGCTATTCTGTTTGCAGTTCTATCATCACATTATTTAATACGATTTGTTAAAACATTGTTGTTTCTTATTTTCAGTTTGCTTCAAGCAGTGGCTGTACGAGAAAGACGTGGAGGACCAAGAAATGCTGGCCAGATTTGCAAAGACCGGAAGATACATAGCCTAACAGAGAAGATAATGGATATTAACAAGAAAAAGAAAAAAAATGTTTATAATTTCTTTGTTGCTGTTTACATTTTGAATTATATTTGTTATTTTTAAATCAAATGCATCTATTTTAAATGATATATTTATTTAGATGTAGGTTTTTTTTGTAATATTATTGTCCATCCATCCATCCATCCATCCATCCATCTTCTCCCGCTTATCCGTGGTCGGGTCGCGGGGGTAGCAGTTCCAGCAGAGAGCCCCAAACTTTATTTTCCCTGGCGACATCAACCAGCTCTGACTGGGGGATCCCAAGGCGCTCCCAGGCCAGCGAAGAGATATAATCCCTCCACCTGGTCCTAGGTCTACCCCTTGGTCTCTTCCCAGCTGGACGTGCCTGGAACACCTCCCTAGGGAGGCGCCCAGGTGGCATCCTAACTAGGTGCCCGAACCACCTCAACTGGCTCCTTTCGACGCGAAGGAGGAGCGGCTCAACTCCGAGTCCCTCCCTGATGACCGAACTTCTCACCTTATCCCTAAGGGAGACACCAGCCACCCTGCGGAGAAAACCCATCTCGGCCGCTTGTATCCGCGATCTCGTTCTTTCCTTCATGACCACAGGTGAGGGTAGGAACGAAAATATTATTGTATTAAGTATAATTTATTAAATAAAAATACTGTTATGAACACTATACAATGTCTTTATTTTGATAGTTACCAGAATACATTGTATATTTAATACTAACATAAGCTGGTGATAGATAAATGCTGATCTGCTGGTATGCCAGCAGACAAATATTTATAAAGAAAGAAACAGAAGGGAGGAAATGATGATAGCTAGACTCAGAATAAATCACACAGCATTGAATGGTACGTCATGGGGAAAAGTAACAGTGACAAGTGTAGGAACTGTGGAGTTAAAGAAAATGTGGAACATCTATAAAGCTAAAAGAGAAAAACTAAAGGATAACGTTTTAGAGGCAGAGGGAATGGAGTGTGGTTGGTATTTTGGGAACAAAAGGAGAGGGAGAAAGAGCTACCAGAAAGGCACTCTTTACCTTTAGTGAAACTGGGGTAGGTAAAATTATCTAACATTAGGTCAGGAAAGATCATAGATTGTTGTTTTGTTTTATTTATTATGTTTTTTATTTATTTATTTTTGGATTAGATCATAGATACGTCCAAGAGTTAAGAGATGGAATGATATGATGATTCACACTCATGTACAGTAGGTGGCGGTATGCACCTTAAAGTTGTTTGCAATCCGCCAAAAAACCGAGAGAAGAAGAAGTCAACTGGTTTGCCAACGGACAATTTACACCGAATTAGAAGAAGCGAACATTTCTGGCGGGTGAAATTTAGAGTATCAGATTACATGCGAATGATGCGATGTCTGACTGAGAATTTAGTAGTTTGCCTTATGGGCTAGTTGCACAAGATGGCGTCTATCAACTTCCGGCGGCTGGGTGTGCGGTTGTAAACTTCCGGTCTACAGTAGAGCTGGGTTGCATTCCAAGGTTGCATTCCAATAGAGAGGCGAAGTCACGCCCATCTACTTCCGGTCCATGGGATCCCGGAAGCGAAAAATTATACATTGAATTCAATGGAGAGAGAAAACGTATCTTTTGATCCCGTTTGAATTGTGCCACGAACTACACATATGATGTTTGTCAATCTTAAACTATCATTTCCATGTCAAAAAAGTCACATTTTGTTGTAAAACTGTTGAAATATAAGACTATGAAAAATACGCGACTACAAATCCCAAATCCCATTCTGGGTCACGTAAGTGATGTCACAGGCGATAATGCTCCAAGTGGTTGGTTCACTTTTACAAGATGCCTGTGTGCTTTGTACCAGGTTGTAATCACAAAAGTGATCATACCACTTGCTCGTTCTATCGCTTCCCGTCTAATGAAAGGACCAGGAGTCGCTGGATCAGACATATCAGGTAATATCATAGGTAATATACATGTTGTGCATGGAACATAGTCAAGTTAGCTACCTAGCTAGTAGCGACGAGTAGCGAGTGTGAAGTAAAAACTTCTTTGCAGCAATGTTGAGCCAATCATGAAATGAGTGAAACTGGATTCGCCTGTCAATACACTGATATTTATTGAGAGCCTGAGCGGCCGGAGAGTTCACAGCATATTACAGTTCCCTGCAAGACACCAGCCAACTCTGCCCCAAAAGCGCCAAGCACCCATCTATATATGGAGAAGAGGAGGGCCCTAAAACACGCGGGTTTTCCTTTAATGCATGCCAGATGTCGAGACAAAGACTCGTTGCATTGTAAACCCACATGAGCCAAGCTTCTCCCCCACAAGACATCAGATGACCTCTTGACCTGTGTCTTCCTGAGAAGCTATGGATCACATTACAGGCAGGAATACACTTCAACCATATTAAACAGATTCCCGAGGACAAATCACTAAACTCTATATACTTTAACAAGACCAAAATATTCCTTTACAGATCCACCCTTTTATCAATTTATGATAATCAATTAACATTAGTCTAAAGAATATTTCAGTCAATACTTAAGTCAATAAGCGTCTTCAGAGTTGTGTGGGCTCACTCACATTAATTACATCAAAAGTAGAACAAGATTGAAAACACTTCAATCACCATGACAAGATACAATCAATCATAATAAAATCATCTCTCTTCAGTGTTTGGCATCATTTGTCAAAAAGCACAATAATAAACACGTGAAATACAACAATATTATAGCAAAATATATGTTTCAAAAATAAGATATTTTATCATTTATCCCTCAGTTAATCTCCTTCATCAAACACAAATTCTAAATCAGCTTACATCTCAAAGATTTACTTCAAGGCAATTACTTATTAAAACACAATTAGAATTTAGGATTTATAATACATCCAATTGAGGTATAAATCAGACTTCAACTATCAATCATTATGTCATCTCAAAATCTGAAGGGAAAACTAAACAATTCTCAAAATGTTTAACAATCTGAAGAATCAAACATTTTATTGTATAACGACCTGAGAAGGGAAAAAATCAAAACATCTGTTCTTTATTCAGAGCATCAACTGTAATCAATATCAAAACATCTGTTCTTTATTCAGAGCATCAACTGTAATCAACATCAAAACATCTGTTTTACCTGGTAATGATTAAGGATAGTAACATTGTCTGTTATAATATTAGAAATATGTTATTGTTCAATACCTTATAAATCTGAAAATATCAATTAATTAATTAGTTTAGAGTGAAAGTGTAATCTGATCAAATATATTTATCACCACTATTTAACACATATCTGTTCATTGGGAATACAAAAACAATCATTAATTGTACATCTGTAATCATCTGGTCATTCAATTCAAATGTTATCTTTGTATCAGAGCTAGAAGACATGTTTTCCTCCTCTCTTTATGACACAGAATGTCTGGTGTGTAAAGGCATCCTGATACTGTAGATTAGCTCTGAGGTGCTGATTGGCTCAACTCTTCTTCATCAGAGCGCCATAACTCAATTATCTGTAGATTAGCACTGAGGTGCTGATTGGCTCAAAACTCTTCTTCATCAGAGCGCCATAACTCAATTATCTGTAGATTATTAAACACAGTGTGAATGTAATATTCTGCCACCACCCTTCCCATTTAATAGCTCAATTTAGTTCTTGAGCTTATGGTGTGATTAACAGAAAATACAAGTCTGTGTTGTTAAACATTCCTCGTGTGCCGTTCACCACAGGGGTGAGGGGAATTCTGTTGATGAGCAATAAACTACCTTATTCTCAATCAAAACCACTATGCAAATGTAGTGGTAAAACTGCTCAACCGACCGAGAGCAGAGATATTAATTAATTTAATTAATTCTAAGAACGGAATCTGCTGAAGAGTAATAACCACATTATTCTCAATCAACAACCACTATGCTAATTTAGTGGTGCTCTGCTCTCCCCGATCCGGAGAGCAGAGACTTTTAATGAATTCAGTACCCTTTATTTTAACAACAGCCAAATTCAACAACCCCTCAGTTTATGAAACACAGCGTGACGTAATATTTAGTAACATCCTAATAAGAGTTATGTTTATTTCCAAAACTCATAATGGTGCGATTTAAGTAGAATACGACACTGTGCTTTGTTTCTCCTAGTGTGCTGCTCTCCACAGGGGGGGGGGGGGTGGGAATTACCCACACCCTGGAAGATTTCGAGGCGAGTTGATTTAACTAGTTAAAACCGTTGAAATCTCCAGAATTCGGCGATTCGTTTCAGTACAAATCTTTACATTGCTTTTAAACCGAAGTTCCACATTACTGATGCCCTCTTTAAGGTCTCTCCGAATATTTGCCGTGCACACACACAGAGGAAACCAAAAATATTGCATCTATCTGTTCCACAGGTAATTTTATACCGTCAATCACAGAGTCTGGCGAGGCAATGTCAAAATATAGATTTGAAATTACACTCACCAGCTCGACGATTTGTTGGTAACCGTTCGCGACGCCAATTGTGAAGTAAAAACTTCTTTACAGCAATGTTGAGCCAATCATGAAATGAGTGAAACTGGATTCGCCTGTCAATACACTGATATTTATTGAGAGCCTGAGCGGCCGGAGAGTTCACAGCATATTACAGTTCCCTGCAAGACACCAGCCAACTCTGCCCCAAAAGCGCCAAGCACCCATCTATACATGGAGAAGAGGAGGGCCCTAAAACACGCGGGTTTTCCTTTAATGCATGCCAGATGTCGAGACAAAGACTCGTTGCATTGTAAACCCACATGAGCCAAGCTTCTCCCCCACAAGACATCAGATGACCTCTTGACCTGTGTCTTCCTGAGAAGCTATGGATCACATTACAGGCAGGAATACACTTCAACCATATTAAACAGATTCCCGAGGACAAATCACTAAACTCTATATACTTTAACAAGACCAAAATATTCCTTTACAGAGAGCACGTTAGTTAGCATTATATTACTTAGCCTTGTCATTTTTAGTAGCCTTACCATGAAGTTATTATTTTATTACATGAAGTAAACCAAAATGTTAAACAGTAACCAAACATGATGGTAAGTATTTCGTGAAACTTTTGAAGAGTAGCCTACTGCGCCCTCCACCGGGTGCTAAGGAAGCAGTTCAGGGAGAGTCGAAGGCAGGCAGGGAGCTTTGCATGACA